GTCGGCGGTGGCTCGTACGCACGTGGAGGAGCTTGTCGGTTTGGAACAGTTAAGATAGCAAGCAAACTGCTGTCCACAGAAATGACGCAAATGCCCTTATATATGAGACGGTGGCCCAGTACAAAACGGTTTTTTATTACGAAAATTTAGTTCAACGTGTGGGTCCGGAGGCGCCGGAGCCGGGATCACGCGATGATATGCAATGCTCAATGACCAAATACCCCTAACTCTCCAGGGCGAGTAGACGAAGGTTTTTGTAATATTGAGAAGCGAGTGGGGGCTGTTCGGTCAAAAGCGGTCTTCAGACATTCTTCATTCCTACGGCTTCCAGATCCAACCCTAGTCCGCGAGAGCAAAACAACGGCATAATGCCGTAGGAAATAATAATTAAACATCTCCAACCTGTAAAGTATGGTCTTGATTAATTAATTACTAGGTGCATGTACAAATAAATAAGAGATTGGTTGGCTTCACCTTCATTAAAACAGTTCTATCCTGATTATTATTTTATTGTCATAGGACGACACTGTTTGAAACTGCAGTAATGTATTCGAGTGCATTAGGTAGATTACATTAATGACATTACGGAAGAATATACTCTTTATTTACGCGCAGGGTGGCACTACAGGCACACCGTGAACACGTGAGAGTGGGGCCTACAATATGTGATTGCATATTATTTGTAAATGCGGTCAGTTTTGTTTCCGCGTGCCGCGTGATCTCTGGCCCACCCGAGAGAACAAAGTGATATAAATAAATGCAGTGGATCTTAGGGTTTTTGTGTGCGAGGCAGACTTCGTGAGGTGAAAAAGGAGAGCAAGTACAGAGCAGGGGAATTAGCGGCTGATTCATGTGCGAAGGTAGCAAACAACTTCGGCTCTCTCTTTTTTTGGGATTTGTGCATTCTTTTGTGAGAGGTTCAAGAGTTTGTGTGAGGGTTTAGATTGTGTGATTGTAAACCCTATTTGTATTCTCCCTCTAATAGTAGATCTCCCCTTCTTGCCTGGTGGACGTAGGCTATTTGCCGAACCACGTAAAAAATTTGTGTTCTTGCCGTGATTTGTAATAGCTTGTAGGTTCCCTCGACGCGCAGTCCTAGAGCTGACGAGAGGAAGAGCTGATATCTCATTTTTATGAGATATCTGGCTTTTGGTTCTTGTTTCCTTTGAGAAACGAGAATTTCATTGTGATCTAATCTCTTGTTGTGCACCTTGCGCACCGGAGGTGCTGCCGAAATTTTCGCTGCGCACAACAAGTGGTATCAGAGCTCCGGGTTGGATTTGGGAGCTTGTTCGAAGGATTCTCTGAAGAATTCCTATTTGAAGAATTAGATCGACAACATGGGAGAAACAAGCACATCGGGATCGACTCTTTCGAAGGCTATACAGAGTCTGAGCATCAATAATACAAAAATTAATGTTCCGAAGTTCGACGGTAAGATCAATTTCGGTTTGTGGAGGTGTCAGGTGATGGACGCTTTGGATGCACAAAATTTGGAGGAGATTCTTGAGTTACAAGAGAAACCTGCTGATATGGAGGACAATGTTTGGAAGAAAATGAATAGTAGGGCTTGTGGAGTTATTCGGTCATGCTTGATGCCGGATCTTATTTATGACGTAATGAACGAGACGTCGGCGAAGAGAATGTGGGAAACACTCAATGAGAAGTATCTGACGAAGAGCATTGAGAATCGGCTTCACTTGAAGAGGAGGTTTTACCAATTCAAAATGAAGAGGGGAGTTTCCATTCGGGAGCATGTTAAAAACTTCACGAAGCTAATTTCGGATATGGCCAATGTAGATATCATGATTGAGGATGAAGACAAGGCGATGCTACTATTGTGTTCATTGCCGGAGGATGATTTTGGAACGTTTGTTCTCACTATGATAAATGGAAGAACTACGGTTAGCTATAAGGAGGTGACCTCAGCTTTGGTGAATTATGAGTTGAGGAAGAGTGATGGTGAACCCTCCGAGAAGGCATCGGGAGATGCATTAGCAGTTCGAGGCTGTGGTCCAAACCGTCGTCCAGGTGATCGCTCAAGATCGAAGTCAAGAGGTGGCCATAGAAATATTGGTAGGAATCAATGTCGTTTTTGCAAAGAAGAAGGACATTGGAAGATCGACTGCCCAAAGTTGAAAGATAAAGCCGGGAAGAATAAAGGGAAAGTTGTACAAGCTTCGGAAGTGAATGTTGTGAAGGCTAGTGACGACAATTCAGATACAGATTCTTCAGGCTATTCCTGCTCTGCACTCCCGTCAGTTTGTTACGCTGACTCTACGGAGTGGATGATGGATTCTGGTGATACATACCATATTTGCCCTAGGAGGGATTGGTTCTCTAGCTTTGAGGAGTTAGAAAGAGGGGATGTCGTGCTCATGGGTAATGATCACATATGTCCTATTGGTGGTATTGGTACAGTACGGATCCGGATGTGTGACGGGGTGACTCGGGAGCTGAAGGAAGTGAGATTTGTTCCTCAATTGACGAAGAATATCATTTCGCTTGAAACTTTGGAGGCAGCTGGTTATAAGGTGATCTTGGAGAATGTGACTCTGAAGGTCACAAAGGGGTCCATGGTGGTGATGCGAGGTGTCAGGGAAAATAACATTTACTACTTGAAGGGCAAGACAGTAACAGGGGGTTTGGTAGCTTCGATTACCACAGAGGAAGATACTACCAGTTTATGGCATATGAGATTGGGACACACTGGTGATAAGTCCTTGCAGGTATTGGCGAAACAGGGGCTATTAAAGGGTGCGAAGACCTGTAAGATGGAGCTGTGTGAACATTGCATACTTGGGAAGAAGACAAGAGTGAAATTTGGCACCGCTATTCACAATACCCAAGGTATATTGGACTATATTCACACAGATGTTTGGGGCCCTTCCAAGCACACTTCACTTGGTGGGGCCAACTATTTTATCACTTTCATTGATGACTATTCCAGGAGAAATTAGGTATACCCGATGAAGCATAAACATCAGGTCCTGGATATTTTTGTGGAGTGGAAGAAGAAAGTGGAGCTGCAGACAGGTAGAAAGGTGAAGACTCTACGTTCAGATAACGGTGAAGAGTATAAGAGTGATCCATTTCTGTAGTTTTGCCGGGATCACGGTATTAGGCGACATTTCACAGTACGTGAGACACCGCAACAGAACGGGGTGGCTGAAAGGTTGAACCGTACCTTGCTGGAGAAGGTGCGATGTATGATGACACAGAGTGGATTGTCAAGATCCTTTTGGGCCGAGGCATTGGTTTATGTGAGCCATCTCGTGAATAGGTTGTCGTGCACTGCGATACAGGGGAAGACTCCGTTGGAGCGTTGGTCTGG